CCCCGCGACCCGGCCCCGGACAAAGCGGATGAAGATGGATGGATGGATGGATGGACAGTAGGTCATCAGTTCCTGGCATTGGATAAAATAGTGATGATATCATCTTGTGGACACATCTGCTTTTCCAGACGATTGTACCGCTAATTGTATTTTTGTACAATTAGTATTATTGTACCCTACCCTAACCCTAACATTAAGGCTACAGTTAGATTTTCCTGTTTCAGTGCAGCTAACCAAATAATGAAAGAACTGCACTGAAACAGACAGTGAAAGCGGACAGTGTATCTTTTATTTGTTTGTTTTTTTAAGTACAAAAGTGATACCTTAGGCTGCTTTTTAGTTGTAGTGTCCTTGTGTTCCACTGAGTTCTGTCACTAGTTACCTTAGCTAGGTAATGTAAGTCTATTAGCAGGGACCAACTAACCAAGTCATATCACTTTTTGACTCTAAACATGGTTTAAGAACAGATCTCTATGATGCAAATTATCCTATCTATAGTATTTTCACCTTCTAACATTTTTGTGGTATTCGAAACAACATTTTTCTTCACTTCTATCATGGTTCTTTAAAGCTGTTAAAGAGCAGGGCATTTTACTGAATTGATAATCAATGTTGTCTCTTTAGAATCAAACCTGCAGAGCGAAGAAAAAGTATGAGCTTTCAGCTGTTGAGGGCATCTTCTGGTGGATAAGATCAGTCTTTAATCTTAGTCACTTTTTACGTCATCCCAGTTTAATTGTCTATAAACCTTTGGACATATAGAACTGCTTGGTTTGCCATTACACAGAGCTTCCACATTTTGGTTTCAGCCCATACTAGGCATTTACAATACTGTGCCATCCCTATTCTTTTTATTTGCATATGTTTCAGTACATTTATTAAAACATTTTAACATGTTAAAGTTAGTAAGACTATGACCACCTTTATTCCTCAAGTGAGTCTAAATTGTCTTAGACCTGGATGACTTTACCTCTCCTGACCTCTTACATACCATATTGACAATTGAACTGAAATTTTTGGATTTGGATTGAGTCTGATGGAGTTACACTCCATGTGACCCAGTTCTTGTGTAATCTGGCACACAAGAGCCCTTTTCCATATTTGATGAAGCTTCCTTTTGATTGATCTCCAGTAGAGCTGCCACGATTTGTCGACTAGTCACGATTACATCGACTATCAAAATCGTCGACCACTAATTAAAAGTCGACGTGTCGTTTGAAGCTTTGTAAGATCCCAAAAGACGCAGGAATAAGTAGTAGGATTTAAGAGTGTAATAACGGACTGAAACAG